CTAACTGAGCTACTGGCCCAGGGCAGGAGAACATATTTAATCTCACTTAACGGAAATTAAATGTAAACAGCCACAGTGCTGGCCAGTTGCCACCACGATCATCAAGGCTGCTAGGATTCCACAACACAACCAGATGTTGTTTGCCTCCTACTGGAAACAGTCTTCCTATCAAGGCCCTGGAATTAGTTACCAATTTGCAAAAGAGACACCAGAGGTTTTCATAAAGTGCTCGAGGCCCACAGGAGGCGGCTGATAACTGCCAAGGGCTTAGTCTTCTCTTTATCTAAAGTATGGCTCTCCTGCCAAGTCATCCTCCACAGCAATAATGACTTGACGTGGACAATACCCTACCAGTGATCCCATCTTAGACAAGTTATATGTAACACTAACACACACACACACACACACACACACACAGGTTTTTGAAGAAAATTTGAGTTTGAGCTCTAGCCACATCCTTACTAATGTGTGACCTCTGGTAAGTCACCTAAGCTCTCTGATCTTTCGTTCCTAATTCTCTTGTTAATTGGAGTGGATAATAATACCTAGTGGACAAGGGTGTTACAAAGGTAAGTTACGAAGGGGCGTAAGTTTTATGGTCCTATAAAAAATCCCTGATTATCATTACTCACTAAAAGGGAAAGCAAATGCCATATTTAAAGCAAAATCCTAGGAACTGCTTAGACACTTTGTGGTGGTCGTTGTCATTGCTGTGTACTGAATTGGTGTTGCACGCACATGCTCTTGGAAATCTTGTTGTAATGGGATCTCACCTTCAAAGAATGAGCATGCCAAAGCTGTTTGCCAGAACCATGGTAAGGGAGGAGTGCTTTATTTAGCAGCGTGGGGCCTAGTAAGCATCCTCCCTGCTAAGATTATACTGAAAATAGAGGAAATTGCAGACTGCTCATTTCCCTTGTACTCGTTGTAATCTTGTGGAAACTTCCTGTAAAAGGCAGTTATAGCATTAAAAGTAAACTGATTTCACACTCACCGGATACTACCAGACCGACAATTGTAGTCCTTTGGGAAAAAAATAAAATAGCACACTTCTCCTTTACACTCTATATTAGTTCAGACGAACATGGAAACCCTAGTGATGGAGAGAAAGACTCATGCCAGAGGCAAGGAAACTATTTAGAAACATGGTTACCATTTAGTTACTCCACTGAGAGGCAGAGCTCATTAGCCAAGAGACTGGTTACATGAAAAAAAATCATTCATTAAACAAAGTACAGCATGAAAATAGTGTTCTCTTTGATCTAGGCACATATTAACTACAGTTTTACAATATAAAATTTTAATAACATCTGCTAAAAGGGAATGGTAAGAGTAGACTTAGACAGGGAACTGTGTATATGGATTTTATGTTCTGTGAGAACCTCAAATGTTGGCATGGCTGTTTCCTCTTTTGGCTTTTTCAAGTATACAAATATCTGCTGAGAGCTTATTAGTGCAAGGCACGATGTGTGTGAAGTGCTGAACCACAGTGGTGTCCAAGTCACAGCAGGAAGCCAGAGTGGACTCCCGACTGCCATCAGTGTCCGTCAATACAGCTTCATGTATACCTATGTGCACCAAGCTTTGCCATCGTATTGCACTTGAATAGCTTCCATCACTTAAAAGCAATGCTGATGAGAACACCAAAAAGTGCGAAATGCCGCCTGTGCCTTTGAGCCACTTCAAATGTAACTGGGAAAACAAACGGAAACTCACAAAAAGTTAAGTAGCACACACACACACACAAAGAGGGAGAGAAAGAGAATTATTAATACAGGTTTAAAACAGTAAAGACAAAAATAAAAGAAGAATTAGAGATGACAAATTCTGAGTTCACAAAAAAGATGACCACTATGGACCAAGTGGTCTGGAAGGAAGAGCCTTCAATTGGAGTGTGCCATGCCTCTCCCAGTGCCTCCATGAGGACAGGCTACTTTGCCATCCTTGTGGCCTCTGGCCTGATACCTACCTGGAACTCAGAGCCCACTTGTACCTTCTTAACTTTGATGATTTCCTATAGTGACAATTACTTGGCAATTGTGCTCTTGGCCTATGGGTATTTGGATACTTAATCACCTAAAATAGGTTAAGTGTCAAGTGGCTGTGGCTAATTCTTAAGCTCATGGCAGTAGTACTGACTGCCACCTATACGCACCAGCCATTGTGGCCAGCTCCTTCTCAGAAACCCTGAGAAAATACATAGGAGCAAGTGCAAGGAAGGGTCCCTTACTTTTCTGACCCCAATATGGCCACAGAATCCTTCTCGACTACAGCTCAATCAACTGCATGGAGTTGGAACATAAGGTGAAACTGTGACCTATGTATTTTCTCACGTAACTTTTCAAGACTTGTTGACTCCATCTTCCTTAGCTGAACCAGTTCTCTGGCCTTGACCAGTATCTACCTTAGCCTAAGATACACCTTTGTGTGTGAGTGTGTGTTCCATTGGAAGAGGCTTAAATTAGAGATGTGTTTGGAGATGTGATGAACACACGAGGTTGCAAGGAGAGAGAGTAGTCTGTGAATGCTAAGAAGGACCTGGCATACTTCTGAAACAAACAAACAGATTTGTTAGTCCCATTACAGGTCTGTGATCACAATGTCTAGAGTGGTGTCTAGAGTCTACATTAAAGCCCTACCTGCAGTGTACAGCCGGTTCTTGAATAATATCACTTTATTCAATGTCATTTTGTTATAGCATAGGAAATTAACTCTTTATATGAATTAGCCTTTGGTAAAACTGGTTTTGCTATAAGTTGTTTCCCTTAAAGTCATAGAACCTATCAATGTTAACTGAGGACTTACAGTACTTAAAAGAAAACCGTTTGGGGGCTACGTCTTGGTCATGGATTGGGAACAACCTAAAAGCATTAATTCAGGTTGTTGATGATATCTTGCCCCTTCAGGTAGGCACTGTGTGTGAAAGTGGCCAGTATAATGCCTTGCAAATGACAACCAAAATGGTTTTCATATCTTCTCCCAAAGCTTGTTACGGATAATAATTTCCCTGATGCACTTGAATTTCAGATACAATTTTTTTCCAAAGGAAATGAGGTTTTGCAAGGGACCCAATGTTCCTTTTACTTACTTAGTCATAAGTCTGAGAACTAGCATTTACTGATGACTTACTAAGGGCCGAGTGCCTAGCAAGACAGGTACACAGAAAAAAAAGCCCCACTTATTTATTGAATGAACAAGGCTATTGAATGCTCTACATTAAAACTTCAGAGCAACTGACACTGCCTGTTATGGAGTTTACTACCTCCATTTTACAAAATCATAGTAAAAGTTAAGACTTACTGACCTCTTAATCTGTTCTAAGTACCATATATATATACATGTATATATAAGTATGTATATATGTGTATATATATATATTCATACCTTCTTAATCAGTACAACTCTGTGAATTAGGTACTAGTTTTACACAGGCTGAGTTTAAGTAACTTGTCTAGAACACAAATTTTTGATACTTGACTCAAATCTGGGCAGCTGAAGCAGTCAGCAGTACTACTGGAAGGAGAGCAGGCCAGTACCAACACTCCCAATTACAGGTTCTCAGCAGGAACAAGATTTAAAAAACAAAAGCCTCAGGTTCAGGGGTAAGAGATAAGATCTGATTATCCCAGGATCCTCTCACCCCTTCCTGTCACCAACATTACCCCTTCCTCACTTGGAGTAAGGACTATGCTGCTCCTGCTGAGGCAGGAAGCAAGAAACCTCAGAAATTAACAGAATGCTTTTTTAAGGGGGGCAAGCTAACTGGCTTAGCTCCTTTATTAATTTGTCACACATTTATTAAGCACTTACTATGGACAAAACATTGTTAACAAGCTAGTGTGAGTGCTCCTGAGAACAGCAATCCTGAAACTTCCCGGAGACAGATGGCAGGAGTCCTGGCTTGTGTGGGAGGTTCTCCTACTTTCTTCTTCCTCAGGAATTGTTCTACCCTTCAACGTGGCAGGAGCAGCAACCTTCATTCGCAGGTTGCACAAACCTGAGAATGAAGAGAAAAAGCACTGCGCACAAACCTAGGGAGATGCGTCAGAAAATCTGGAGCCCGCTTAGGATTCAGTCCCCCAGGCTGGATCAAATATAGACTGGCTTTCTAAGTAGAGAAGAGATAATAGAATTTGCAAAGCCAGGAGCTCAGTCCTCTGGTCCAGGAGCCCCTATACTACAGCCCGAAACCTAAGCAGGTTTTTGTGCAAAACCCTTTTGAGATTACTGCATACATTGTCCTCTAACAAAGCAAACGTGACAGCTGCCTATTCAATTCTCGTCCCGCCTCCGTTCAGAGGAGTTCATGCCACAGAAGCATCTTCTGCGCTATAGTTATGCAACCTCTCTCGCAGCGGGACTTATTTCCTGTGCTTCTGGCTGCGCCAGATTCATGTAACACGCCTACCCTGTGCTTCAATGGAAGTCGTTCTCCATTAACAACCATGCTAGCTTTCGGAGATGAATGCTCTGCACAGCATACCCCTTGCGCAGTAAGGATCCAAGGTATTAGAACCAACTCTTTCTCTAACACACGCGCGCGCGCGCACACACACACACACACACACCCGCCGGGCATGCAGCTAGGACACTGCAGCAATGCAAGCAGAGGACAGCAGGCGGAGCTCTCTTTGTACAGTCCCTCTTCGAACCCCCACTAACTAAAGATGAACTCATGCCAGTTCCATTCTTTGCAAGAAGACACACACACGACATATACACACATACACACGTCAGATCAGAGTAGCCTCCAATATTGTCCTTGAGCACACAGTCATACTAGCCTCTTCGTTCAGGCAACTTGGATATTCCAAAGCCAGTAACTGGGAGCACCGCGCCGCAACAATGCAGCCTCCCAAGCAGCTCCCAGTGCAGCTCACACCCCCGCCCCCTTTCGCAGCGTGCCAAGAGTTTGGAGCGCGCGCACGCTCACCGAGCCCGTTGCCTAGCGTATCCCTCCGCCTCCCTCCTCCCTTTCCCCGTTCAGTGGCTTGACAACGATTTGGGAAATGAAGGGAGGAGGGAACTACTTTCCTGAAACTTGCTATGCTGCACACGACTTCGAGTTGCAGTGATTCGTCCGGAGACCGCAGCTTTTAGTCCTCCAACCCGCACGCCCTCACTCCCAGGGCACCCTGCTCGGCAACCCCACCCGGTGGTCACTTTGGCCCTCGGGGGAAGCCGGAGGCCGGGAGAAGTCGCCAGGGACTACTTCGCCTCCTCCTGCGGGAGCCCCCAGTTCGGGCAGCAGCGGCGGCGGCGGCACGGCGGAAGGAGCGGGCGGCGTGAGCGCTTCCGCCGCCCCCCTCGCGGCTCCCCTCTGGCGGGTGTGGGGAGGTGAGGAGCTGGCCCGCGGAGCTGCTGCCGGGCACTGGCTGGTGGGGGACTTGCGGCCGCTCTCCTGGCTCTCAAGCTGCTTCTCGGAACCCTGCTCCCCGGGAGTGGCTGGTCTTCGTCGGCCCGGCGGGAGCGATTGGCTTGCTTGCCACCGCCGCACACGCTCCCCGCCGCCCCCTCTTCCCCCTCTGGAGTCGTCCCGGCTGGAGCGTGTCTGGAGGAATCTGCCACCGAAGGCCCCTCGCCCGGTTCCGCTCGTTTTTGAGGACCGCCCCACTTGCTGCCTGGGGCTGAGCGGGTAGCCTGCAGCGAGGCGGGAGATGGTGGGGTGGGCTCCGGTAGGACCGCGCCGCCGTTGCCGGGAGCCTGGGCTCGGCACCCCCCTGCCGGCCCCCACCAAGCCGAGCTCTGCTTCCTCCTCGCTGCATCCCTGAGGGAAGCGCCGCCTCTGCTCCGGGCTTCTTTGCTCGCCCGCCCGCTCGCCCGCTCTTTCCCTGCCGGACCCTGCCGGACCCCGCCGCACTCCACCCCAGTGGCGGGAGGAGCAGCTCTCCAGTCAGCCCTTGCAGGACCCCTTTCTTTTTTCCTTTCCACGGACCCTCCCCGGCCTCCTCGGATCACTTGGCTGGGCACTGAGTCTAGGGAAGAGGCTGGGGTCGCCACGGCGGAGGTTGTTGCCGCCACCCCCCTGCGGGGGTGGCCAGGGTTCCCGGCTGGGGGGGCACCGTTCTGGGTGAGGCATCCACCATGGTGAGGCCCCTGAGCCGCTGCCCCCTCGCCCCCCCGGCCGTCGCTGCCTCCTGCCCCTCGGTGCTGCTGCTGCTCCTCCGCCTACTGTTGCTCCTCCATCTCCAGATCGGATCACGGTGAGGGAAAGATGAGCGAGGAGACGGCGACTTCTGACAACGAGTAAGTGCCTTATTGATCTTGATTACTAACCCCCCACGCCCCATCCGTCCTTCCTCCGCTGACCCCCAGACCCCTCGAAGACTTGGGTGCCGGAAAGCTTGCAGCCCTAGAGAGTTCGGTGCATCTGCAGATATTTGATTTCTTTAGCTTTTTTATTTTATGGCAGCAACCCCTCCACCCCCCATTTAGTTGTTTCCTTCTGGGAAGGGGTATTGAGGGTTGGGGTTGGAAGGCAGTTTTATGTCCAGGAGATGGAGTCATGTGGATGGATGGATGGAGCCAGGATAGAAATTACCCGTTTGCCTGGAAGACCTTTGGCCTGTCCTTTTCCCCTTTAACATGCCAATCAACATACCCTGAATATCCATCCTGATTCCTTTATAGCTGTTTCACTTGCAGACTATTGTGTGGGAGCACCTCTTGCAGCAAACTGCTCTTGAATCTTAATTCGATGAGTCAGTGACTCTTAAATACCGATTAAGCCTCCACCCCCACCCTTCCTTTTTTAAACTTATGACCTGTAAGATTCGTGTAAAAAATGGGGCTAGGGAAACAGTTTTAGAATTTAATAAGGTAAGGACACCTGGAGTGTGGGAGATGTTGAACTAATATATTTTACCTTCGCGATCATTCGGCATGCCTTTATCAGGTGCATAGAATAATTTCGAATGTTAATTTTCACTCCTGAAGTATATTAAAACACACCGTTGACGTTGACTTAACAGTATTTACATTGCTGAACATGTTGGTGACTCCATTGATTAACTTCTGGAACATCCCGTTTAAGATTTTGCTTATTTTGGCAATCCTTATATTTTACAAACAAAATACTTTGCCTTTAACATATTGTGCTTTAACGTAACAACTGCTTGGAGAAATAATGGTGCTGTGACAATTTTCTGTTGAGACGCGATTTAATTTCATGCAGGATATTAGCATAGGTTTTCTTGTAAATCAGGTTTTGTTTATCTTTCGAGGGTTGGAAAGAGTTAAGTGAGTAAGGGCTAGTCCTAGGATGCATTCCTTTAAATAAAGTGCATTCCTCCAGTTAGACTTTTCTGAGAAAACTTTAAAGTCCAAAGCCTAGGCCTGTTTAAAATAAAATAGCTTGAGAAATGCAAGCAGCGTTTCTCTTTCCCATTCCTCCCCCCAACACACGCTTCTGATGAGCGGGTGTGGGAGAAGGTAGATTGCTGCAGTGTCAGTGCAGTCTAGAAGCAGAAGTGGCCGCCATGTTCTCTCTTTTTTTGTGAATCGCCTTCATTTGCATAGCACACTCTTCATTCATAAAAAAATAATTAAACATCCATCACCTTGGACATCTTGAAAGGATTTCCCAAGGAAAAAAATTCGAAGCTTAATAGTATTCATGTAGATTTTTGAGTTCGGTAAGTAAGGAGAATTCGAAGTTATAAGTTAAAGTAAAAAACATAGGCACCCACAAATAACTACCCTTGTTCTCAGAATGTTGACACAGTTATGTGGGAAATATCAGTTCTGGGAGGTGCTGGGATCACGTGATCGCCTCCATTCATAAAATACCTGGCTGTCCATTCACAGTGCAGTACACTGTCTCACTGCCTTCTGCAGATTAGACCTACTTTGAGAGAGATCAAGAAGTACTGTATCTCAGATAACGCCTAGTTAGAAGAAAAGCTTCGAAAAATTCCGAGCGGAATGATGATAATTTTTATTAGTATCTTTTAAGAAAGTAGCTTGGATCAAACTGTCAAATTTGTTTTAGAGATAGGAAAAGACTAATTAGCATATTTAAAGTAAAATACTGAATACCTCTTTGTTGGATTCAGCTAACAGAAAAGCGAATGAGAAATGTGAATTGACACACACATGTAAATATAGTTTCTAAATGGTCTCTATTAGCAATACTTGCCATGGACAAATTCAGAGTGCAGGGTTTTGGTGTAGTGATGTCTGTGTGCTATTACACGAAAAAATGAGTAAATATTCCCAGTGGTTTAATTCCAAAGATGTTGATACCTGAAACACCAAATGGCTTTTTTTTTTTTAAACTGGGAGAATTGCTGCTTTGTCTTTTTTCTTTTTTTAAATTTTAATTGTACTTAGTATGGGACTCACCCAGGCTTTTAGAATTCTATTTTTACAAATTTATCCTGCTTTATCGATGAGTTAGTCTCTAGGAGCTTTGTTGCAGGACAAAAATAATGTTTAGCATGTAGTATTTTGCTGTTAGATGTTAACTCTTCACGGAGACAAATTATTGGAGTTTTACTTTTTTTTTAATATTAGAAAGTGATGTGTTTATCTGTTAATCAGTTTTATTAAGGGCAACATTGCTCATTACCCAAACCACAGGAAACTTCTTTGGAATGTAGCTTTTTTTTTTTTATGTGTTGATTTTAGAGAGAGGAGGTGGGGGAGCAGAATAGAGAGAGGGAGGGGGTGAGAAAGAGAAACAAATCTAATTTGTTGTTCCATTTATTTATGCATTGTTTGCAATAATTTATGCAAAATTTATCCACTGGTCAATTCTTGTATGTGCCCTGACCAGGGATGGAACCAGCAACTTTGGCCTATTTGGAGGACGTTCTAACCAACTGAGCTAACTCGGCTAGGGCTGGAATGTAGCTTTTATTCTGATAGTTTATGTATCTTATCTTTAATATATAAAGTAACATTTCAAAATGGCAATTTATTATTTATAGTTATATATTATGAAGAAACCAGAGATTATTATGGCAGATACCCTTCAAGCCTTACCACACTTTAAACCTGCCCTGTAATGTGGATTTTACCATTTTACTTACAAAATCTTCATGTATATTTTTTCTTTTTTCTCATTGTTTTAAAAGCCAAAATTAATAGGAATTTAATTACAGTAGAGATTGTTCTTAACACTTGAATGTTTTTTCACCTGATTTCAAACTTTAGAGAAAAAGTGAAAATCACCAATGTCTTGAGACACCTTAATTTAACCTTTTTTTAGCCATTATGGTAAAATCCAGTAAGGCCTTTAGAAGCCTCATTTTTAGATCCTCTTATTATATACCATATTATTTGAAATAAGAGTTCTTTGTAAAGAGAAATCTTCCAGAAGTTGATTGTGAGTATATATTTAACCAAGAATTAGTGAAGGATCTATTACGGGTAAGACTTTGTCTTACGCAATACCAGACTTGGTAAAATTCAGCTTTTCTTCTCCAACCTTCGATAGGAACTGGAAAGGAATTAAAAGTGCAGTTTAAAAACGATGATTTCCTCCACTTAGGAGTAAGAGTTTATTTCGGATAATGTACAAAATGGTCTTTAAAGTGAGTACATAATAATTTGTTTGCATTTCTACTACTAAGATAGTGTCTTAACATTTGATATATAAGCATGCCTTTCCTTTCCTATGATGTTGATGAATCATACTCATTTATTGGATTTTTTACTATGTGCCAAACGCTTTAATAAATGCTTTACCCATGCATTATGTGACTTATGTATATACATGTATTTTCAACAGAATGGAATTGTGCAGTAGATACTATTATAGCTTAATATTTTGTGAATCTTTTCCTATGTCATTTCTTTCTAGAATACTATAATTTTAATGGCTACATTATATTCAGTATATAATATACATTGGTTTAAAAATATACTATTTTTGGATATTTCTGAACAATGCTACATTTGATAGTGACTTCTCTCTTCATCCAAAAATATAGTTTTTCTTTGAGATACTTTAGGAATGGAGTTAAAAGAGATGCAAAACTTTTTATTTTATCCTTTCATCCAAATTGTCCTCTAGTAAAGAAAAACTGAATGTATGAGAATGCTTATACCTTGAAATAGTCTCTCCCGTTCTAGAAAGAAATATTTGCCAGTTTTGAATGAGGAAATGAGACCTTGTGCCTATTTTAAAAAGGTGCTAGATAGTAAAATAGTTACTTAAAAAATTATGAGATTGTTTTCAGGTAACAGAACTATTTTGAAATAATCTATTGTAAATAGAATTACATTGTATGCGATCATACAACAGTCATTTGCAGATAACTTATTTAACTTTACCAACCTTTATGCAATATGGTATAGTGTAAAGAACATTGGACTTGGGAGATGCATTGCTGTCCTGTCACTAATTTATTCTGTGATTCTGGGCAAGTGACAGCCTCTGTAGGCCTCAGTTTGTTCATTTGTAAATCCAGGTATTTGAACTAAAGCATTATTATCAGCACTTCCTGTACTAACTTACCTACCCTAAAGTAATAGGTTGGTAGACATTTTGCAAGTCACTAGACTTGTAACATACATATTTGTTAATTTATTATGTTGTTTTTGAAATATTTGAGCAAATAAAAGACTTCTGGTAGAGATTTGGTAGAATGGTGCCTAAAACCATGAATTTTGAAGGACCAAGATAAAAAATTTAGAAACAATTGGTATGTTAAGAATTTTTAAAGATTTTTTTTACTTTATAGCCGTGTGTCTTTGATGATATGTCATATATATATCATAGGTGGAGAACTTTGTGGTGCTGTTTTTAAGCCTCCTTTTAAGGCCTTTGGGTTTAAACACCAACTTGAGTGTTTCTAAAAGGAATACTTATATATACTAACAAGATATCAGCCCTCTTGTTTTAATTGGCTGAGAAGTGCCAAGAAAAAGTAAGTCTTTTCATTTGGCTTGTTACTTATCTTGTTACTTTAACACTAAAGGATAATTCAGTAGATTAAGAAGTTAACTTAAATAATGTATTTTTTATTTTTTTAATATTTAGATTAGGTTTGCTGTTTATGACAAAAAATATTTTCATAGCAGCATCTCATTTTAGAGGCCAGATCCACAGTCATTATAGACTCCTAACAGGTTGATTTTTGTGTTTTATGGCACTCAAAAAAGTTTTGAATGAGAAAATACTGATGTAATTTTTTTGTTAAAATAGATTATCATTTTCGTTAAAACAGTTCATCAGTAGCGGATCATAGACTAATGTGTTACATTGCTTGAGACATAGAGTTCTTGGAATTCAGGCTACT